TAGGAGACATCTTATAGATTTAATATTAAAGATTCTTTCATTGTTTTAAAGCTATCCAAAATTTTTGCCATCAGTGTCTGCCGGCAAAATATCTTGGTATTTGGAGAAAAAGTGTTAATCATCTTTATAAAAGAACCATTATCCACCAAGGATAATGGTTGAACAGTATCTATTATAAAGTTAATTATGACTTTGTCAGCCAATTTTTGAGATACACCTGGTGTTGATGAATCCAAATTGCTTAATTTTGTTTGAATTATATTTGATTTGGAAGTGGATGTATCTTGTTCCATTACCCCAAAACTTTTGAGATATTTTTCAATCTCTTTATAATTTGAGGTGTGAACAGTCTAAATTTATAACAGTAACACTTAGAATAAAAATTATGTAAGAGATAAGTACATAAAAATGTGAAATAACTATTTTAAAATGTTTTAAATAATTTAGATAAAATTTATGAATATATAAAAATAGATTGGTCTTTGATTTAAATTTATTTTAAAAATTAAGGATTAGCCTACAAATTGATATTAAATTTGTTTAATATATTACCTTTAAATGTTTTTTTCAAATTAAAGCTGCTTGTATGATTTGAGGATAGAATTTTGCGACACATCTTGCATCGAAACCGATATCCAGTAGTAATTTTTTCTTCAAGATTAAAGTATTTTTTGAATTTTGGGAAAGGATAATCTATATTTTTCTCATTTTCCAAAGAAATTTCGCTATCTTCAACAATCTCACACATTTTTAATAACTAGATTTATAATGTATTATTTTAAATATAAATTTCAAAATTAAATTAATTATAAGGATTATAATTTTAGATTTAATAAAAAATATATTTTAATAATTTTTAAATGTAGTTATTATGTAAAATTGAAAGTAGCGAGCTACCGCTGTAGCGCGCTATTTTATCAACACTCCTATTTTTAAGGTTATTGTGAAATGAACTTTGTTCACAAATAAATGAATGGCAATATTCATTTTATCGAAAAAATAATTAATAAATTCGTCTGAAGATTGAGAAATAGTCTCCAGAGTTGTTCTATCTACCGAAACCCACTGTTTAAACGTAACAAGAGCTATATCATTTTTTATAAATAATTTTTCGATGCGTTCTTTAAGAGTGCCGAGCCAGGACACTCGTTGCAGTCACCAAAATAACAGGTGGGTAACGGTGGATTGCAAATCACTCTGCCTATAACATCTCTATAAGTTGTTAATGTATCCTCACCATTTTTAGTCAATGTTGCTAATTCACACCTAAAATCATAAGTTTAATATTCTGGTGTATGCTACAAACGCATACACTATATGTTTCGCTAGCCCCCGCTAATATACAATTTTTTGGTCTTAAGCTAGCAAATTTCGAAAATACAATTGTTATGTTTACTCGCCTTAAAATGATTATATAATTATTTTAAATTATTAAGAACTTACTTTTTTGAGTGTTCACTCGTTCCCCCTTTTCAATGATAAATATTCTTTTTTAACTGGTAATACTCTACTAATTTCATTACTGCAAAAATTTATTTTTAACAATATCAACTGTTTTTTGATTGAGATATTTTGCAGGCTTTCCATTTGGAGTTGAAAGAATCCCCTTTCTTCTAAAATGATTTTGGAATTATATGCCATATGATATGTAGCGTTGAATGTCGTTTTTATTTTATTTGCGCTTCAATTAGGAGGCAGAATGGTCAGCAATTGATATTTTTTATTTTTAGATAAATTAGTATATTATAGTATATCACTATTGTCTTTTGTATCCGATTCTGGATTGTTAATTATTATTTCTGAAATAGCTTTTGATATTTTAGCTAGATAATTTTTTTCGGTTAGTTTTTTTTCTTAATGGAGATATTCCAATTCGTTTAAAGTTATATTGATTGTATCTATTGATGTTGATGCTGTGTTGATATTAATTACATATTCGCTATCAGAATTTATATTTTCAATATTTTTTGTGATAACCGTTTACGACATTTAACACAAATATAGTGTTCCGCCTCAATGTTGGAATATTGTGTCATCCACGTCATGACTTTACGCAGGTTCTTTTTGTAATTAAAGTGTTTAGACTCTTAAAAAGGATTTACGCATTTATATTTATACATTATAAATAATTTTAAGGAAAAATTAATATCAAAATATTTTTAAAATAAAAATTAATATTAGGGCAGGTGCATGAAAACTTGCTTTTATCTTTCAACATTAATTATTATATTTTCTTGTAAGAGATATCGGAATCTTAACTATCTTTTTAGGAAATTTAATCATTAATTATAAAAACAACTAATTTTTACAAGTTATCAATATAGTAATAAGCCTATCAAACGATCTATATAATATTTTTTCATGATAGTAATGCTGGAAAATCTTATTATTTATGTTTAAAAATGAAAAAAAGTTTGAAAAAATAATAATCTTAACAAAACACGTTATTTTATAAAGGAGCGCCATCTATTTTTGAAAAAAATATTAATTTTTTGATTTTTTAAATCGTAATAACTAAAAAACTCACGGCTGTCCCAAGTTTAAATTTTTTATGAATAGATATAAGGTTAGAGAATAAGAAAATATTAATTTCAAAAAAATTTGGAAAGCGAAACACCTGGAGTTTTCATGTTTAAAATTTATAACGTAAATAAAAATCGCAACAATATTATTTCAAAAAAATCCTTAATATTTAATAAAAGGCCTTTAATAGAGTTACAAAATGACATATAACTTATATTTTTAAAATCATTATTTTTTATCTTATCTCAATTTTAGAAAATCGTATTTTTCGAAAAAAGGTCATTTTGGCACTTTTGACCATTGATATCTCAGAAACTATGAGTACTAGGAGGCTAAAATTTTGGATTCTATGCTTTCTAATGATATTCTCTCAGCATGCAAAATTTTTTCGAAAAAAAGGTCGGGTCGAAAAGTTATCGATTTGATATGGAATTACATATCCACCATTCTTATAACATAGTAAAATTCCATGTTATACCATATTTTAATAATATGCTCTCTAGACTTGGTTTTTTTTCTTATTTTTTCTTAGTCGGAAGCACTTGATATCTCTATAATAAAAATTAAAAATATCATTAAAAAAATCTTATTATTTTTTTATGAATAGATAGAAAAATATATAAAGTAAAATAAAACTAAGAATTAAATTAAATAAAATAAATTATTAATTAAATTTATATAAGATATAATATATATTATATTTTTAAAACATAGCTTAAATATAGATATAGGCATGACAAAAGGCATTGTTGTTTAAAAGTTGTTTCTCTCTAAAATTCATAGCATCTATTATTGAACCAGCAAAGGGTGAAGTAAAATATAAATGTTTAATTTAACTTTTAGACATATGCCATAAAAATCCCCTAAGATTATCTACCCAAGTTGTAAGTTCTTGGTAGCTACTTTAATTGGTTTTAGGATATTTATCAACCCTATAATTGTGTCCCATTTCAAAGATGTAAAATAAAGTTTATGTATGATATACTGATAATTCCTCACACATATCTTTTAATTCATTCAATCTCTCTTGCATGTCATAGGTTGATAACAATCTATGATAATCCAGATCTTTTTAAGTTAAATTTTTTTAGTATGATTGATATCTATTTTGTCTCCTTAGCTTCTTGAATGAAGCACGAGCATTAATAATTATATTAGAAACTGAGCAATTTTTTAATGCATGATCTACTTAAGTTATAAGGTATGAGATGCACATCTTATATTTATAATATTATATTGGTAATCATTAAGATTGATTGTTAATTCATCAGGTACGTTTGTGTTACTAGTAGAAACATCATTCAAATTATCTATATTTTGTATTTGTTGTTCTTCATCATTTTCAGACATTTGATTTTCTTCATTAGAAGCTCGGCCCGAAATTTTTTTATAAAGTTTTTCCCGGTCTGGCCCGAACCCGATTTTTTAAAAAATTTTGCCGGCCCGGCTCGATTTATTTGAATATAGAAATTAATTTTTATGATAACTCAAAATAAACGATATATGTTATTTGGCGTCCACTTTCTATAAATAAAATCACATATTTTATTTTACATAAAAAATTCAACTTAAAATTGATAAATTTAGATATATTTTAAAAAAATTCTAAGGCCCCACCCGACCCCGCCCGAATTTTCTTAAAAAATATTGGGCCCGGCCCTACTTTGCAGATCTCTAGTCTTCATCACTATTCTCTAAAAATAATTTTACTATTATAATAATATTTGTCAGTTGTTATAGTGTATATTTGTAATGTTTTGATTTCATAATCATTTAATACTTTTATTAAAAGTATTTATTGTTATATCATAATATCTTATATATTTTAAAAGGTTATAATTTGAATATTATATTTATAATAGAATATTATAACTTTCCTACATTTAATATTATATTATCGAGGTTAATCAAATTGCATATAAATTTGATAATTATATAAAAGTATATATATGCAAAAGAATTACAAATAAAATTCATTATTGTTTTTAAACGTTAATCGATATAAATATTTATAAATATTCTGCATTGGGCCGTTCAAAAATTTCTTTAATTGCTGGTGTTCTCAAAACAATTTTTGCTTTTTGAATATTTATGAAGATTAATTCAAATAATGGACCTGTCTAGATAAGTAATACATTCATTTTTTAGAGATAGTATCTTACCATTTATTTCTTTGATTATATTTTGGTTTTAAAAGTATGAGTACATCTAGCAATTACATTCTTTGACTGTCTAATATGGGAGTGTGTTTAAATCGTTACAGTGGGTCTCTGATTAGTAAATTATGTTTATAAATAGATTTGCAAAAAATGGACTTTGAATTTGGAAATTTTATTAAGTTAAAGAAGGGATGGTGAAGTATTTAAGTTTGGATAGTACAATTTTTACCTCTGATTAATAATATTAATATTAATGATTAATTTTACACTGTAATACTTGATTTATTAATAGCTTGTTTGTATTTGATTAATATTTAGATAATAAGGTAAAAAGAACACTCTTTAAATTAGACAAACTTGGAAGAAATTCTCATGTTGCCACCAAAACATTCCAAGCACTACGAGCATTTATAAATGATGAATATAATCAGATTGAAATAGGGTTATTAAAACTTAATGATTACCTTAAAACTACTCTATCTGCTAATCATTCCTTCCACAAATTTCGATCGAGTCATTTCAAGAGGCAGATATTATCCTACAATCAACAAAATATTGTATACAACGATTTACAACCAGATGAAATATTCCCACCCTTGTTGATCGTATTATCATTTCATTCTTTGGAAGATCGTTTAGTCAAACATCGTTTTCATAATCAACAATTAAGTCAAGAAAATCAGGATAAATTAAATTACCAGCCAGAATCACATAGAAAATGGGTACCTTTCAATAAATACGTCATTGAACCTAGTAAGGACGAAGTTCATAATAATCCAAGATCTAGATCTGCCAAATTGCGTTCAGCTTATTTAGTTTGATATATTTTATATTTGTTGCAACTTTTTTTGATAATCACTGCTATTGAAATAATAACAAAATTATATTTCTCGTTCTAAATTTCTAAAATATATGAAATTGGCCATGTGCTATAATATCGGTTAATGATAGATGCTGCGTGCTGCTTATATCAAATTGGTATTTTGTTTATTTTTCATTTGGCAAATTTATTTATAATATATATTTAAAAAATTGTGATTTTTGGAAATGTCTGTGTCCTAGTCGATAAGAGTCGTTTCCAATTATATTTTAACTTTCACCTGGTGGTAAGCTTCTCTAATATATCTTTCCATTTTTTGATGTCTTATTTAATTTTTATTTGGTGATTTTAGTTTTTACTTTATGGGACCATTGAAATTTTGGCTCCACTCTGCCATTTATCCATCACTTTTAAGCTCTTAACTTTATTTCCGATCCCCATATCACCGTAGTTAATTTACTATGATTTTTTTTATATGTATTACTTTTAAACTTTCTAGTATATATATATTTTTCATCTTATCGCTTTTGGTTACCCCATCATCCTCAGCATTCCTAGCTCTATTATCTGTAAGCTAATCCTTGCTTTGGTATGTTTTTTTTAAACTATACAGGATAGTTGTACTATATTATTTTATTTAAATTAATTCTTGCAATCTTTTATATACTTAAATTTATAGGTTACCGTTGTACGTAAACGTCTTTTTTTATATTTTGTTTCCATAATAATTATTAAAAAAATATTATTGCCCTTTTTTTAAACCATTTTGAACATATTCCCATTTAAAACGAACATTTATTAAAAAATATAATTTTTACTCTAAACTTATAATTTATTTAACGAATATCAGCTGAATATTGATTAAATTATTTTAAAAAATTACAAATAAATTTTTGCTTAATTTAGTGCATAAATGGCAGGGTTGTGTATTTGACCGGCCAAATACGATTCTGTCAATGGACTGACATTTACCATCAAATACGGTCTAATTCAAATACATGTTTTTTAAGACAATATTAACTTTATTTTATATATAATTGTAAAATGAATCTATAATATTAATTCCATAATATTTTTAAATTCATTGTTATTCAATAACTAATATTTCGCTCTCCTTGGCAGATCTTGTTCAATTTATATTCAATATTATCATTTTCTATAATATTTTTTAATCAATTTTCCTGTTGTCGATGTTTTATTCCCATATATATCTTTTTTAAAATATGTATATATGGTGAATTCCATATCAAATCAACCAAAGTTTCTATCCGACCCCCTCAGAAATCCCAGTCTAGGATTTTGTACAAATATAAAGCAGTCTGGTTTACATCTACAGATTTTATTTTTAAAAAAGTACCTTTTTCTATGGCTATTTTTGGTTTTGGGTATTAGTCGAGTTTCTATCACATTTATTTATATGTCAAATTAAAGAACTATTATTAATCTATATAATAAAATTTATATTATTTCTCTTTAATTTATTTTTGCGATATTTGAAAATAAATGAAATGTATTTTGTCAAAGTACCATTTTCTCGCTTTTTAAACCCCCATCTCTTAGCGAGTAAATGGTGTAATGAAGTGTAAATTTAATTATTTTCATATTTATAGCATATATTACCAATGTACATAATTTAAAAAAATTTTGAGAGGATCTGGTTGAGACCTTTTATGGTTGATTTGATATGTAATTCACCATATATATTAAATTTACTCATGTTTATGTATATCTTCTAACTCACGATGTTTTATTTCATAAACAAAGGGATGCTCAAACTAATATTGTTAAACAACTCGTTTTGAGCCTATTTTTTAAAACGGTTAACTCAATATTTCATCCAGAAAAATATTACGCAAACCTGAAGATTTTGCTCATAGAAGGAACAAAGGTCTAGACATATATTATCTATCGAGGCTTAGGCAATATTTTTTCTGGCTAACATTAAGTTAGCCGTTTTTCTTGGCTCAAAACGAGCAGTTTAACAACACTAGCTCAAACCTATTCCAAGCTCCCAGAATAAAATTGATGATTGACATTATCTTGATATTCGACATTTATCAATTATTTTATTGTCATACGATGTTTAATAAAATTAAATATAATGTAAAACTACTAATCGAGATCTTCAATCAATTGCTGAACCCAAATCGACCAATTTCTTTCTGAAGTAGTAAGGAAAAGTTATAGTAAAATATCACTTCTATTAAAGGACATTGAGAGCAAAGCTCATTCCACTAACTTGAGGTCCGAATCTTATTGTTTCTTATGGGAGTTACTGCTTTCCACATAATTTGTTATTAAACTTGCCGCTTTTACTTCTTAAATTTATGTATCATTTGAAATATTTGGATCATCACTTATTTGTTAAATGTCTAATTCTTGTATTATATCATATCCTTCAATAAATTATCTAGCAGTAAGATGCTCTCCTTGATATTGAGGACTCAATAAGTAAGCAGCATTCGACATATGCAATTTCATTGATCTGAAAAATTATTTTAGCAAATAAATTTATTTAGAATTATTTAAAATGATTTTATAGATATTCGGCTGATTTTTATTTAATAAATTATGGTTAGTGTAAAAAATTATATTTTTTAATATATGCTCGTTTTAAATGGGAATTAGATCAAAAGAATGAAAATAGGGGTAATGAATGACATTATTATTCTTTTTTCTATGATGTTCGAAATGAATGGAAACAAAATATTGTTTACATATTATATTCTCATAAGAGTTTCTGTTGGACTGTACCCATATAAAAATATTGAATATATACAAACTATTATTATATTTTTTTACAAAAGTGTCTAAGAATGAAAGAAATATATATTTGAAAGTCTAAAAAGATGGTATTAAATAAGGTGAAAATTTCATGTCAAGGATTCGTTTATAAGCATGGCAGCTAAGCAGTGTAGGCGTAGGGAAGCAACCGGCTTTGACTGCGTCCATATAATCTGCATCAAGTCCTGCCAAATATCTTTTTAAGATACGTTCGTAGTCTAGACAGGAACATATGGAAGAAAGAATTTCGAACATGTTTAAATCAAAATCGATACCTCCATGCTTTAGAAGGTATAAATATTGATCGATCAAATCTAATAGGTCAAAATCTTTGTCTTTTGTTGTGTTTTTAAAAAATATATGATTTAACTAGACAACATTGATGGTAAATAAAGTATACCTTTTAAATTATCCAGCAGCCATTTAAAAAAATTTATATACCTATATTAATTAGTAAAAAATATTTTATAATAGTATTATTCATACTTAGATTTTCTATCATCTAATTTACTATGCCTAATAAAAATTTAAAATTTTTTTTATCAATAAAATTGTTATTTTACTTTATTCGATCATCTTTATTCTTTTTAAAGCTACTAGCGTTCATTGAGAATCTTCGAGTTACATTTTCAGCATTAAGACTGAGAATTTAATATAGGAGTCATATATTTTTTTACATAATTGAAAAAGTTATTTAGATAATATGATTTATATTAATAATAGAGAAATAACAATTATCATTTATGCTACATAAAAATTTACCAAATTTAATAAACGTTTTAAACACAAACTTATAAGTAATGGTTCTCCATAAATAGTATATATCGCTATCAGATTTGCGTCTTTTTGGAGGGCTGAACATTTTTGTCGATCTTTAAAATATGAATAAAACATGTTTGTATATTTTTTAAGAATGTTTATCATATGATCAAGAATATATATTGTAAGGATATGATTTTGTTTCAATTGTAAATTTATTCGAAATTCTAGTCTAGCTTAACAATCAAATTATAAATATTGCTTTTATAAACTAATTCATTTTTTAAATATAAAAATAATATAACCTGTTAAAGCCAAATACTTTTTTGTTTATGATTCCTTCCGATGGCCAAGGTCTAAAAAAAATATTTTCGCCAAGAATTTTTTTTCTGAAAATAAAAATAAAGTTTTCATTATGTATATAATAATGTTTTATAAAATAAGAGAATATTTTAGGACAGGAGGTTGTAAAAATCCAATAACATTAAAAAAAATTTCATCTGAATTTATACTGGGATTTCTGTCATGATTATAAAGTATACATCTATTTTTATTTTCAGAAATTACACGCTACAATAAATATTATAAAGATGTTCATCACAATATTGGTTACTTTTCCTTTTTTTATTAGTTCAATCTGCCTATTAAAATACCTTATTGGCCAAAATAAATATCTCATTAAGCCCAACTTTACTTTAGCACACAAAATATATTATAACATCAGACTAATGGTATCTCATTGGGTTGTAAAACGTGCGCTTTTTTTACAAAGAACTTTTTTCTGAAAATTTTATATACATCCTCGATCATTTTGGATTTATAGTATGATTGCAAACACGTAAATTTAATCTTATATTTCTATATTATACTCTACAATTGATAAAAATTCTATTTACAAACAAGCAAAAATAAAGGTCAATTAGTAGGTTATCTAGAAGGAGCCATAATTGTAATTAAAATTTTCTATTTACTTCTTTTTTTTGGAAGAAAGAGAAATTCGATCCACTCATTTGAAAAAGCCTTGATTTTACAGTTCAATAAATGTGTTTAAGGGCAAAATTATTTATTGGTGGGCAGAACAATTGGGGTAAAAATAAAGTTAGTTTAATATATTTCTTTATCTTTCTTGATACGTCTGATATTAATGATTTTGTATTTTTCTCTAATGGAAATGAGGAAAGTGAAGTTCTAATAAGGGGGATTTTGTCTCTAGTCAATTAATCAGATCTCATATTGTCCTCTAATGATAAATTTACCCTTTTTACATATTTGGTATTCGACTGTGAACCACTTTTAGGCACCAACTAAGACATGACGTGAAAACGGCCTATAATGTGTTTACTGTTTAGTTCATGCTCCCATTAGACATAACTAATGTGTTGTAATTATGGCTGGGCAAATTTTCAGAATGATGTATTAGTATGTAAATACACCTCAAAAAAATATTTTAATATAAATATAAATACATTTAAAAAAATGTATTTGATATATATAAATTATAAATACCCTCAAAACAATTTCTAAAATGTATTTAAATATTTTAAGGAATACTTT